AAAGTGAAGAAGCTGCAGTCACAACACAGTTCTGGAGACTAAAGCCCAAGCCTGTGGTACAGATTTCTTGTAAGGACTTCCCCTAGACTGTATCACCTGATGTGGGTTGCAGTGGCCAGAGCAAGGGCTAGGGCAATCCAGCTTAGCTCAAACTATGAAGTGACTGGATAGCCTTATGCTTTTTCTTTTTTCTTTTATTATTTTATTTGTGCGTGTGGGGTGTGTGTGTGTGTGTGTGTGTGTGTGTGTGCACGTGTGCCTGTGGATGGATGTGGTATATGCATGTGTGTGTGTGAAGATGTGCTTGCCTATGCCTAGGTGTGCTCATTTGGAACCAGAGAAAGATATCAGGTATCCTCCCCCATTGCTCTCCACCTTTCCCCCCCACCCCTTGGGACATGGACTCTCATTCAACCTTGAGCTTGCCATTTCTGCCAGACTGGCTGATCAGTGAGTGAGTCTATCTCTGCCACTCTCACTGCCCCATTCTGGCACTGGGGCTGCAGCCATGCCCAGCATTTATCTGAGTGACACAGCAAACTCAGACTTGTCCTCAAACTTTTGTGGGCTTACTGCCATTTTAACCACTCTCAGGAGAATGACTAAGCATTCACAGAGAAGTATCTTAACCCCTTTCATGGGCCCAACCTCAGTGGCCCAAAGACCTTCCTCTGGGCATCACCTATTAAAAACAACTTCCTGGCAGTGGCGCAGGCCTTTAATCCCAGCACTAAGGAGGCAGAGCCAGGAGGATCTCTATGAGTTCGAGGCCAGCCTGGTCTACAGAGTGGTATCCAGGACAGGCACCAAAACTACATGGAGAAACCCTGTCTCAAAAAACCACCACCAACAAAAACAAAACAAAACAAAAAACATCCCTTTTCTCCACATGAAGCCACCTTTGGGATTAAGCCTTTAAAAACGGGCAATTTGTGCTTGTGGTGGTGGGAAATCCAACCATTTTTAAATCCTAGCAGATGAAAATGAAGGGGCTTATAGAGTCAAAAGTCCAAATTTAGCCCTGTGATCACACAAGACAAGAAGAAATCAGGTCATATTTTCAGAGAAAAGAAAATCATCACATAACCTCTTAAATCGTAGAAGGGTGGATTGTTTGTACATGAGTGTAGACAGATTGGGATTTGGGATGGGCTGCAGGGTAGGCAAGTGATGGTCAGCTGAGTTGGAAGGACATCCCAGCCTTCATGTTTGTGGACATGACCCTGGCTTCCTCTTTCCTAAGCAGACAACTCTGGCTAATTAGCAAATCAAAAGAAACAGAAACAGTCTTAGACCCCAGCACAATCGAATTAGTGGAGTGATTTGAGGATGCCATTTCACACAGTGTAATCATGCTCTCTTTGTTGTGGTCCAAAGGAGTGAAAATTATCCTGCAACCCCAAAGCGTTCCCTGTAACCAACCGGCTCAAAGTACGGCTTCATTTCCTATCAGCTCGCTTCAATTTTAGATGATGGCTTTTGATGAAGACAGGAATACACAATGCACAATTAAGCAATATCCATCAAGCCTCTCCTACAAGGAGGACCTTTTAAAAATACATTTGACTTTTAGGGTGATTCAGCACAGAGAGCCATTAGCACACCATCTAAATCAGGACCTGGAAAGTTTATTAAAATTGGATTTTTAACCTGATCCCAATTTCTACTGCTTGTAAAGAATCCCACTGGACTCCTTAAAATTCAGGCTATTAACCTGAAAGACTCAAACATCCATTATGAGAAGAGAGGATATAGGGCAGCCCTTTAGGCAGGGATCGTAGGTAAGATTCCTCTGAGTTTGGTCAAATAGTGAGTGTGAATCCTCAGTCCTCAGAAGAAGCAGGTTCACTCTGTTCCATTCCTCCTCTCCCTGCTTCCTCTCCCCCTGATCTCCTCATCCATCACATAACTGAAAGACAGGAAAAGTATACCAACAATAAGAAACATAACTAAATCATTCAGTTATTGATAACACTGGACTATAAGTCTAGTTTTAACTGGAAGAGGAGCTGTCCAGATTAACTGCTTTACCTGGTGCACTAACTCACAATTGAAAAACAGAGAAGGTCTAATGATCCCTGGGAATGGCTAAGAGAAAAGTATTAGTGTGTCACCTTAAACAGGTTAACAGGTTCCTTTCTGTGTGGAATAAGTTATCCTACTTGTAAAGTAGGATTTTTTTGTTTCTAATAAGGTTGCTGTAAGAACAGCAGCAGATGCATGTTGGGAAGAGGGCTCAAAAAGTGAATTGCTTGCCCTGCAAGTGTAAGGATCCCCCAGTGCATCTGTGACTCCAATGCTGAGGATAGAAGGAGGAAGGCAGAACCTTGATGTGGTGGGGGAAGGTAGACACTGGCCAGTCCGTCTAGGGAAGTGGTAATTTTCAGGTTTAGTGAGAGAACATGTCTCAAAATATAAGGGGTCAAGATATAGAAAAGGTACCCAATCCAATCAACTTTTGGCCTTCATATATACTATAACAAGTAAACTTGCATATCACACACACACACACACACACACACACACACACACACACACACACACACACACAATGGCCACGCGTAGTGTACATAATTCATTCCGCACAGCACCTGGCTCAAGTCTTGGCTCTATCTTAAATGCTATTATTGCAGATTGTTGACCAAAGTCATAGGTCGCCAGCCTTTGTTTCCTTCTCGCGGCTTTAGCTTTGATCTGTGGACAGAGTTTAAAGTTTAGCCAGGATGAATGAGTCTCTGCAAAGGTGCCTTGTACACATAAGCCTTACTGCTCCTGGAGACAGTGACATCTTAATGTTCCATCTCTCTCTCATATCAAGTTTCCAGAAACTTTTATAACAGCTTGAATACTAGTGGTGTAGAAATCATCTGCAATACACTCTTGTTTTCTAGTTGGTGGGACTGGCTTGGGTCAAAGAACCATGAGTGACAGCTGGTTTTCTGAAGTTGGTTCCTAGCATGTCTCTTATGGGCCTCAATTCTCACACCCACCATACTGATATGGAAACCTGTCAGAACCAAATCAAACCATCTTTAAAGTATCAAATATGTAAATTTAAAAAAATTCATGTTTAATTTTAGGGGTGTGTGTGTGTGTGTGTGTGTGTGTGTGTGTGTGTTTGTATGTGCATACTTGTATGTAAGGAGAGCAGTGCCTGTTAGGTTAGAAAAGGGTGTTGGATGCACTAAAGTTACAGGTGATGTGAGCCCTCTGTCCTAAGAATAGAACACTGGTCCACTGCTGGAACAATGCTAGCTCTTAACTAGAAAGCCATATCTCCAGCCCTTACTGACTATTTTTATGTTTTTGTTTGTGTATTTGCTGTGGTTTTTGTGGATGTTGTTATTTGGGGTTTTGTTGGTTAGTTTGTTTTTGTTTCTTGTTTTATCCCTTAGGTTATATGTCAGACAACCTACAAAGGGTTGGTAAGAGATAATTATGCCATGGTTGCTCATGCCCAAGTCTCTTCTAATCAACTGGAGAAGCCAGATGCAAAAGCAGCTCTCTTCAATGCAGTATGAGAGATGATACAGCAGAGCTGAGATCTACACTGAGTGAGCAGAAGCCAGGCCCAGAAAACATCAAGGAGAGGGCTCAAAGTCTAAGCTCATACAGCCAAAGAACAGCCAAAACGTCTATTGGTATTTTTATTTACCTAAATCTAAGAATATTGATATTGATCAGTAAGTGTTTGAGGAAATTGTGGTGGGAGGGCAATTGTGATGCCTGTGCTTCAACTCTTATCACTTGAGGAAAATGCCTAGAGTCACTTCTGCAGAGGGAGGTAACTAAGGAAGACTCGGAGCCTAGGCCTGGGATTTTAGCTTCTTTTGAGGTTTTGTGGTAGGTAATCAAGAAAGCTGGTTAATTGGCCTCTGACTTCCAGGGTGTGGATAGAAGAATCCTTTCTAATCTCCCTTTGTGTCTCAGGGATGACTTGTGGAATTCATACCGTGTGTCAGGCACTGAAACACTTTGAACTCATAGGAAAAATGACCTTTACCAACTTAGGGCATCAATACCCCTCCCTATGTTTAAGGACTCCAGATCTTCACTGTGCTTGGCATCTGGTAGAAGCTTATGGAGAACATAATTGATAATGGGCTACCCTTTAATCTTAGCTCTCCGTTTGGCCACGACAGCCATTCATAGGATTTTACACAACTTGGTAAAATGTCTCTAAATCTAATGGAAATTTTACATGCTGAGACTTTTCAAGATGCATATTTAAAGCGACTTTTGTAAATGCACTTTTTTTTTTTTTTAACCTGAAATAGGCATGTCAGCTTTACATTTCCTCGGATTAATTGGCCATGGTCTCCAAGATGCTTCTGGCTTTATCCACAATATACTGTACTGGGCATTCCTTTGTTTTCTAAAAGGATCGAGGCTAACCTTTGCACCAGTTAAGTGGTCAATTTCCTAAAGAAAATTCCCCCCTCAGATGAGAGATATTGATTCTAGAAATGCAAATGATAAATGTTTATATTCTAAATTTTAAGATATGGAAGATATTAAAAGCTAAGGAAGTTGTTTTGATTTGTATCTTGTATTTGGCTCCCTCTTGAAGACTTCCTCCTTTTCACCCCCACCCTCTGCCCGCCCTTCTTTTTTCTTTTGGTAACATGCTTTGGAAGGCGACTTGCTTTGGCTGAAGCAGTTCAGTGTCTCCAAGGAGATTCCAGCTCCGCTGCCCTCCACTTCTTAAACTGAGTCACAATATGCAGGTTGGCTTTCACACAAAACCTCTCAGCTTTGGAACGCAGGAAGACCTTGATTAGTTTCAGAGGTGAAATTTGCCAACCTAGTTACTTTTGCTAAAGGAGAGCTGAATCCTCCGCGCTCGCCTTGTTAAGTTCCAATCATCTTTTTTTTTTTTTTTTTTTTTTTTGAGGCGAAACCGAAGGAGAGAGTGTGTTTTATCGCGGCACTGCACACTCTGAAGCCCGCTCTTCTAACGGCTTCTGTCCCCGCTGCAGCGCAAGATGGAGCGAAGGGCTCAGGAGACGTCCAGGTCTGTGCACCAAGCACAAGAAGCCTAAGGCGAGTCACCTGCTGGTAGGGAACGCTGATGTGAACACACGTGGGTACTGCGAGGGTCTTGGGGACCACGCCAAGTTTGCCAAAGGGGTAATGAACAGATGGCCCCCGGTTCAGAGCCAGCGGGGGTCAGAGAGCGCACTGGGATTCCAGGGTTTGCAAGGTTGATGAAGTCACTCAAGCCACACGTCCCACCTTCCAGGCTGCGCTAGTCTCTCCCCTTAAACTGAAATCCAAGGAGCCGCCGCACTGGGTGAGCAGCAGAGACGGCTCCTTCGGGACCGAAAAGCGGCAAAAGCCAGGTGCTAGGCTGGGTCGCTGGAAGTTGGCTGGCAGGGACACACAGGAGAGGCGGGACTCGGGGCAGCACCGGAGCCAAAGCGGCAGCAGTGGGCGCTAGCGATCCTCTTCTGCCCTCCGCGCTCTCCCCGAGCGTCGGCCTCCTCTGTCCCCTCCTCCGGCTTCTGCTCCTCCTCCTGCTCCTCCCATCTTCGGATCCCGGCACTAAAACGTCTGTCTGCAAGGTCCTCTGAGCGCTGCAGCCACGAGCTGCGGCCACCGCCGGGTCTCTCTCGGTGAGTGCTTGTGTTCCTTCCCGGCTCGTCCGCCCGGAGGTGACATTTGCTCCAAAGGGATCAGATGCTTGGAGGTGGTGCTGCCCATGGCCCGGCCGGAGAGAAGATTGAGGGCGCCTGACCGGCTGGACGGGTAAACGACTCAGGTGAGCGCTGCGCGCAAGGGGTAAAGGTGTCAGGCTGGGGAGTGGCCGGTGAGGGTTGCCTAGGCGCCTTCTTCTTCTGGCGTCCCGACTTAGGGCAAGTGTAAAGCCTAAGATGAGTGCAGGGTGAAGCAGTTAGAGTGGAGAGTACACGGAAGGAAGACTCGGGGTTTTCGAATCCTCCTGTCTCCTGCCCTGGAACTGCATCTCTAGAATTCACGAGATGGACTCTAAGGGACCGGAGTTTCTGACTCTTAAAAGACGGGGACTTGCGTCCCTACCTGACTCAGGAGGGTCGTCGTTGTCCGTTCCTCGGCGCCGCTGATTCTCTCTAGGACCCTGTGCAAGTGCAGCTGGGGCGCAGCGCTTGCCGAACCGGGGTACCACTAGGGGCGGAGAACTGGGCAGCGGGGACAGCTGACTGGAGTCACTCCGGGATGGGGCATCTGGGATGTGCAAGCCTTGGTCTGGTGTGCCTTTGCGTTCAGTAGCTGTAATGGGGAGACCGATCATCTCCCGGGGTAATCGAAGAGGAAGGCGGCAGGCAGGACTGTAAGTATTAAGAAAACCAGTTACAAACCGCAGTTAAATTTTCATGTTACTTTTTACTTTTTTTTTCCCCACCTGGGTATCTATTTCGGGAATCGCCGACGGAGGAGGTGGATGGGGGGATGTTAAAGGATGTCGGGACACGAACCAGGGGAGCCTGTATTTAGAACGAGCAGGGCTTACTCATAGCCCGACATCTTCAGGTGAACCCCCCCCCCCCCCCACACCCGCCTTTGCAGCAGTGAACTCCAAGGCTTCCCCCTCTGGAACCTGCCTTTCCTGGAACTGGAGGGCGAGCTCTCCGAACCTGGGGCTCGAGCCAGTGGTAGGATGAAGAAAGCAACGCTGAAGCCAGATGTGGGCCAAGGATTGGTGGGTTGTGCCAGACTCAGCAATTATTTGTGGATTCTTCAGATCATGTATTGGCACAACCTAAGCTAAGGGGGCACCTGATCTTATTTGCACAGGCAGGGCTCTCCTCCGGACCCGGAGGAGCACCCTTTCTCTCTAACTCCCACTATGCAGAAGCTGTGGTATCCTTGCTTTGCCTTGCTTTGCCTTGCCTTGCCTTGCCTTGCCTTGCCTTGCGCGAGACTTACTCCTCCTCTTCCCTCTGCGTTATGTTATCCTGGGCTATTTTTATCCATAACTATGCTAAGATGCTCTGGGGGGATCCCAAGGAGGCAACTATGGATCCACCGTCTTGAAACTGCTCTCCCAGAAGCAGTCTCTAGTAAGCCAGGAATTGGGCTGAGGAGACAAGAAAGTGGACAGGAGAAAAGGAGAGAGCGCATCCCTGTTTCAGTCTGAGCTCACCATTCTCAGGGAGAGCTCCACCAGCACCCAAGGCTGACCCAGCCCCTAGCCCCTGCCACCCCTGGGGAGCAGGCCCCAGCACAGTCCCCATGTGCCCCAGCCCTGGCTGGGTGTTTGACCAGCTGCTGGAGAGAGAACAAAGTCCTGTGGTCTCAGCTTTGCTCTCAAATAACAATGTATTTGTTGAAATTCAGTTACCAGCTTCCACCTAGGAGTTAATTCCAGGAAATCTATATTTAACTGTAGTTTTTAATAAAAGGAAATAGAGAGAGCTCCACTTCTGCACCCCTAACCCCTGAATTTCTAAAGTACTGATTCCTTTTGACCCTAGGAATTATTATTCTTGCTTTCTACTTTCCCAGCCACAGTTAGAATTAGCTGGACCTTCCAAAATTCCAGATGAACTCTTAAGCTTCAAATCGTTGTGCTGTTCCTTTTTCCAGCATGCTTAGATTTTTCCATTCACAGAACTGGAAAAATAATGTGGAAATGGACCATTGTGTTATGTAAGGTTACCCCCACCCCGAACACCACCCCTCTCTACAGCCAGGTATAAGAAGGTCAACTTTTCAAAGAGCCTCCATGGCGTCAGTTACCCATCTAACTCTTGTTCGACAGGGATGGACAACTTCCTGACTAAGCACTCTTAAGTCTCTGCAGTTAATTAGCCAGCAGCCAGAGAAGATGTCTTAGTGAGCAGGGCTGAGCTATGCTTCTGGGCTTCACATCCTATGCCAAGTTGCTGTGCATTGCACACCTTTAAGATGGGAAGTTTTGAACAGGGAAACTGGTGAGGAAGTGATACCTTGGTCTTGCAAAGGGAATTTTGGACACATTGAGGGCCCTTGCTTCTGGTGTAGGAGCAGAGGCGCTCTCTCCAGCGGATTATCCTCTTCCTACAGCTTGTTAAGCAGAGTAAGCTTTGCCTTACTCAAACTCCTTTATATAGCTGAGACTTGTGTTTTCATCCTCAAAAGAAATTCTCTGCCTTGAAAAATCCCAGGGATTCTCTGAAGGGAAAAGCTTCATGGGAGCTTTTCTTGTCTTAAGTAAAAATTCAGTGGCAATTTGAAAGCAGCTGGGAATGGGTTGGCTGGTAGGTGCTGCTTGACTTTGTGCTCTGCCTTTCTGAGACCAAGAACATACACTGGGTGGCACACAGCTACCAGCAGGACTGAGACATGTTCTCTCCTAGGTGATTAGATTTGGAGGCAGGGGTGGTCAAACATGTGGATGCTTTCATGAGTTTTAACCTGTGCCTGTCACGAGCGTCTAGACACCAGTTCTAGGGCCCGAGTTCCAAAGTGTAGAACTTTCCTGGCTGCTCTGTGACAAGTGTACTAGCTTCCTAGATGTTACCAAAGGTAGGGACTTTCCAGCTGAGGTTAGAAAAGACCAACACTGCTGTTCCCTAGTCACCAGCCTGGGCACGGGCCTTCTGCTTTCTGCCAGGCTGTCCTTCTGGAAAGAGAAAGCAAGAGACTGCAGATGGGGGTGAAGCCAACTTCTGGCCCTATGACCTTAACCTGACTGTTTTCTCTTTCTAAACCTCACAGTCTTTCCTGAAGATTAGTGACTGGAGGGTGATTAAGAGGAAGTGATAAAATACACATGAAAGATACTTCGCCGACAATAACCTACTACAATAACATTTGTGAAATTTTTTTATCTAAAATGCCTTTCTGGCATTTTTATTTTATATCTACTCAATGTTCATGTTATTTGTAATTGGGGTGTGCCCGAGTCCATCACAGGAACTAAACATTAAATGAGGGCAGATTTAAATAAGCTTCATCTTATGGGCTCTCTACATGAATTACATCAACACTGAGCCCTACTGTTTCTAAGAATTATAATTTTAATTTTCAGGATCAATATTCAGTTTTAGAGTTGCTTTTTCTTCTTTGTCTTTGTGAGACAGTCATATATCCTGGCCTTATCTCAAATTTGCTATGTAGCTAAAGATGACCTTGGACATCATCTGGCCCTCCTCTTCCCAGTACCAAGTGCTGGGGTTCTAGACATGAACTATAGCACCTGGTTATTGTGTAGGGCTAGAGTTCGAACTAGCATGCTAGGCAAGCACTCTACCAACTGACCTACATCCCTTGCCCTTTAAAGGTTTTTGCTGTAGTTTTGCTTTTAAGTTCAGTATGTACACGTGTCTTAAGGAAATGTATTTAAAGGGAGGGACATAATATCGCTTAATCAAAAACAGAGAAAAGTTAACAAGCAATGACTCAACTCGGGGAGAGTGAAGCATGACCAGTTTTGTGGGTATCCCTTTTCTAACTTGGTCATCTGCACAGAGTGCTTGCTTTTCTTCCTTTTTCTTCTTTCTTTTTTTCCAGAATTTGTCCCCAGAGCCTAGTTCAGTATCAAGCACTTAATAGGCAGTCCATAATGTGTTTGGAAAAGTGAATGAATGATTGAACAAAATCTTCACCGCCATTCAGGAGAGCAGATGGCATCATTTCTATTTTAACAATTGAGAATCTGCAGATTAGGAAACGTTGTCAGTTTTCTAAAGGTACAGCGGATTCCAGATTGGAATTCAGATCTATGTGTTCTCATTACAGCCTTCAATACTGCTTTGGGTGCCTCTCCCTGCATCACCACTTGACGCCCTAGTACATGGCTGGAAAGCATTCAGCAACCAAATCTCATCTTCTATAGAGAACCTCACTGTCTTGCTTCAGATAGATGCTCCTCATTGGAGGTGGAGTTTCTTTTCCTAGTTTGTACCTTGCAGCCCTGAACTCAGGTTCAGTTAAATGATCCCACCAGAGGATTGGAATCTGGAGGGAGCAGGTTAAGGACACAGGAACTGCTGAGTGTTTATCACCCACTTGGGTCATGGATCGAGTGGCTGGCGTCAGCAGCAGCAGCATCCAAGTCTCAAGATGTGCTCCCAGTGGAACTATTCCTCGGGCACCATCTTGACATCATCTCTGGAGTCTAGTTCCCTTCATTCCTTCTCATTTTCCAATCCTGGATTTTCAGCATCTCACTAGCTCCTAGAGGCAACACATAGTCTTCAAACAAATTCCTTTTTTTGTGTCTGAGTCAAGCAGCATTGTAAGAAGCTGATGCATACAGCCTCCACGATCCATCTTCAGGACTGCCTCTGGCACGAAGCCTTCTCAGCTCCCTCCACCCACAGGGAATTAAGTCCATAGCTTTTGCAGGCCGTTAGAATAATATTTACTGGGCCATAGTTTGTCAATAGTTATGTGCTACCAGGAGAGGACTAGAAAAATGAATACATTATTCTTCCAAGGAATGGCTTAAACATAACAGAAATAGATCCCAAAGGACATTTTTTTTCTTATTTTTTTCTCCTTCATGCTGCCTGCTTTTTGGTAGCTTTCCAGCAGGGGTCGCAAATGGCAATGCCTTCAGCTGCCAGGCAAGAAGCAGCCTGGGTAGAACACCAATGTGAGCTCAGATCCAACTTTGTTGCCAGTGAAACCTGTGTCCTAACCTCGCCAGGTTTTGTTTACTGCTTAAGATAAATTGCAGGTTCATAGTTTTACGTAAAATTTCCTGACATCAGGTTCTAGCAGCTAATTCAACATGTCTAAATAGTACATGTGGGCCCAACAGGGCATTTTTCTATGAAGGGACCCCAGAGTTCT